GGAGGAGGAGGAGGAGGAGGAAGAGGAGGAGGAGGAGGAGGGGGAAGAAAAACCACAAATAAAATAGTCACATAAAATAATCTCATGTGATGTATAAGCAAAAGGTCCCATCTGACCTATCACCATCTTCAGGGCTCTGTCCTCATTTGGAAATGATACTTCCCAGTGATAATATATTTTTTCAAAACTTTGTCATCTCTGTGTCTTTATGGTGTATAAAGGTCACATGTTTTAAGTTGGTCATTTCAATTTTTGAAATGTTTTAAGTTAAGAGAATGATACTGTCTCATACAAATTCAAATCAAGGGTGTGACTGTGCATTTTAACAGAGTTAACAATGCATTTTCAGACTGAAATCTTGACCCAGCTGTTTACTAACTATGAGAATAGGGCAAACTACTTAATCTCAAATTACTTAACAGTGACTTATACCTACTCCAAATCAACACTGACCAACTTTCTACCACCCATTAGCACCACGGCATCTGGGGCTCCTGGCAGCTTTCCCCATCACAACCTGACAAACAACTTGAGCCTTCTGTGGAGACTGAACATATACTACAAAGTGGCTTCCAACTACCCAACCTTAGCCCCAAGCGTCACAGGATCTCAGATGGTGAGCGAGATCTGTTGCCTCATCCACAAATTAGAGAGGAGAATAACAACGCTTTCTTCTGCAGATTGTTCAAGCAGTACTGAACCAAACACTGGCTTAGTAGTACCTCCTCTTCATCACGTGCTGCCAATAACCATGCAGGCTGGATGGCAATGGCTGGCAGGCACACAAGTGCAGCTCAAAGAAAGTAAAAAAAAAAAAAAAAAAATCCTCCTCTAAGCACCTCCAATAAAGAAATTCTTGACCAGGGTTTAAGAGTACTGCTTGCTCTCCCAGAGGACCCAAGTTCAGTTCCCAGCACCCACATGAGACTCACAACCACCTGTAACTCCAACTCCAGGAGATCTGACACCTTTTTCTGGCCTTCATGGGTGTACATGTGACATTAATAGAAACACATACATGTATATACATATAACTGTAAATAGATCTTAAAAAAAGAAATTCCTTGAGCAGCCACAGGGTCATAAGGACTAAGGGAATGTTAAGAATTTGAAATGTGGGCACAGATGTTTAACCTAGGGTAAGTACTCAATAAATGTTTGCTTTTTAAATGACCAATTCAGAGGAATAAATAAGGTCAAAAGTAAGTCTTTCTTCTCCCCTAAAATTGAACTGACTACTCCAGATTAGCCACTTTAAATAGTTCATTAATAATTGTGCCTATTCAAATCATCCCATTCATGAGGAGACACATATATTATTTATATGACACAGATATCTCCATGTATCCATTTATACATAAGTACAGGGTTTTTCAATACAAAAACTAGAAATATCCTAACTACAGTATGTATTTTAGAATGTGCGTCTTTTTAATTGGATATATATTTTAGACTCTCCCTGACAGTTCATATATATATCTACTTTATCCTTTTTTACACATTTCACTGTCTGGAACTGTTGCTTGGTATTATCCTAGGAAGTCAATGGTGCTGCAGAGTATGACACACTTTTCAGAATACAAATATAATTACACTTGGGAGCTAATGGCTATGGGCTTGTTTACTAAAAAGAAAAGAGCAAGTCATATCCAATTTGATGCACTGTTCAGATAAAAAGGAAAAAATTCTTCCAATGATTAAGTAGCTATATCTTGATGACTTTGGGTCAAAACCACAGAATAATTGATTTGTAGAATTGTTTTCAAGTTAAAATCCACTCAGACCACATCACAGAATAGCTGTCCATGCCAGAGGCAGTGGCCCAAGCAATGCTTTCTCCCTCACTTTTTCCTAAATCTTTCTCTTCTTTAGCCCACAAACACTTTACACTGGCAATTCTTCACTTTAAAACTTTTGAACATTGTTTTTCTGAAAATCAAGTTCAAAGTTACTCGAGATGTTAGGATTCTTATAGTAACCTTCCAACACTTTCCCCTTGTGAACTCTAGAAATAACCTAGTTCTTTTGCTAGCAGAAAGCTTCATGTGAGGATAGACCATTCTTACTTGGCTTTGCTTCAAAAGGGACAATAAGGTCTCCAAAACCCATAAAGTCCCTCAGTACTTAACAGTGAAATTCAAAGGGTGGAATGCCATAATGACGTTTTCCAGGACCTTCTATTGGGATCTTGAGACATCTCAGACCAGGACTGTCAAACATCGAAACCACAAAGCCATGAAAATGCAGGTTCCTAAGCAATATGAGACACAGGAGCTGAGAAAATCCACAGCTCATGAAACTATGGAGAATTTTAAGTTAGGAGTGGACTGCAGCCGGGTATCTGCAATCTGATGCACAAGATCAGTTAGTGCTCACATCATTTAGTACTCACATAGGTAGAATTTCTCACATGCGGCCCTAAGAGTCATAGAGAAAAAACACTTTACAACCACAACTGCAGCTCCGTCTCCAACCAGTCATCTTTTAATGTCAGGCAGGAAGCAAAATGAAAAATATCATTTGCTTTTGTTTCACTGAAGTGCTCCACTGTCAAGTGTTTTTGGTCATTATCAGTCAAGAAATCCGAGGTTGTTATGGCCTAAGAAATGAGAGGTAGACGGATCACTGTGAGATTAAGACCAGCCTGGACTTCATAGTGAGTTCCAGGCCAGCTGGGTCAACATCTAAAACCTGTACCAAACATATGAAGCAACTGCTTGTTCTCATATGTTGGGCTACAGGCAACACAGGACTCTGATCCCTGACAGAAAGGAAACAAATAACATGAGCCCTCTAATTGCTGTGGCACTGTGCCTAGAGGCAATTTCCAGACCACTGCCAGGGAGGGCGGGGGAAACATATGAAATAGAATAGGGCTTTGCTCTGTGAGTTGAGAAAGTGATCAGAATCTGTGGAGGCCTCAACAGCTAGATGCTGTGAAGTAGGATCCTGAAATAATGTGACCTGTATGAAAAATAGAAATCTACATAGGTATCCCCACGAGAGTCTGATGAGCCGTAACGTGTACATACATCAAGTGACCCTCCATAAACTTTGCCAAACACTGGGGGCAGAGTTGTTAGCTGAACTATTTCTAGAGCTCACACAAGTGAAGATACATTCAGAACTCAGTCTAGCCAGACTTCAACTGGTGGTGATTACTGGGGACATTCAATAAAGATGTCAGAGAGGCTGTCCCTGGAGAGAAAACACTAATGGATTGAATATGGAACGTCACCCATGGGATCAGATTTTGCTGCTTGGTCCCTAGCTGGTGCTGCTACTTTGGGAGGTAGTAGAAACTTTTAGGAGGTAGGCTCTAGAGACTAGAGGAAGAAGGTCACTGAGGTCAGGTCCTTGAGGGTCTATCAGCCCTCACTGCTTCCTGCCTTGCTCTCTGCTTCCTGGTTGGCATGAAGTCAACAGCCCTCCTACACCACCCTCTCCTGTTCCCATCCTGCCTGAGCACATGGGTCAAGCAACCATGGACTGAATGAACCCCCTGAAGCCATGAGCCCAAATAAATCTTTCCTCCCTTAACTGGTTTTTGTCAGGTATTTTACAATAGTAATGCAAAAATAAGAATGTGGTACTGAAACTCACTTAAGCAAAGCCTGAAAACAAGCTTCAAAGTGATCAAACTGGTCCACAAGTGGTTTGGTTGCCTGACAACATCAAGACATTCAACTATGCAACATTACAGTGTCCAGCATCCAGTTGAACACTACCAGATATATCAAAGGCAGAAAATATGAGCCATAATAAGGAAAAAAATCTGTCAATAGAAGCAAGTCTAGAAATGGAAGAGGTGATGGGACTAGCAATCTATGTTCAAGTCTCTAACACAAAAACAAAATGAAGAGAGACACGGAAGACTGGGAAAAGAACTAACGGAACATTAGAGATGAAAGAAACAATGCACACTTACACAGCATATTCTCAATTCGACTGGATAGGCTCAACAGCAGGTCAGACAATTGTAGAAATAAATATTGGTATACTTCAATCTTATGAACATGACACAGAGATTTTCACCTGAAAAATTTTAAAAGTCATTTTGGTAGCCTTTGGCACAAGAACAAGTGGTTTGACACTGTGTGCTTCAATGTCATATGGAGAGGGACAAAAATGTTGAAAGAAAGAACTGAATATTTTCTGAATGTGATGGACACCATTATAATCTTTAGATTATAGAAGTATGAAATTCTACAACTTCATAAAAAGATAAACACAGAAACACACACAAGCATGCACACACACTAACATCACCCCTCAGCTCATCCAAATAGAACTGCTGAAAACCAAGGATGAAGAATCAGAGGAAAAAGGCATGGCAACTAGAAATAGCAAGCATAAAAGCAACATAGGGGCAATGGCTCAGTGGTCACAGTGGTTAAGGACACTTGCTGCTTTCCCAGAGGACCGGGGCTTGGTTGGTTCCCAGCACCCACATCAGGCAGCTCACAACTGCTTGTAACTCCAGCTCCACAGAATTTAACACCTCTGGCCTCCATGAGCACTGCATTCATATGCCTCTCTCTCTCTCTCTCTCTCTCTCTCTCTCTCTCTCTCTCTCACACACACACACACACACAATTTAAAACAATAATAATAAAAGGAGAAAGAGGAGGAATGCAGAATTATTGTCAGAAACAATCCAAGCCAGAATATATTTTTCCCAGTTCTTTGTTTGCTTTGTGGTACGGAGCATCAAACACATAGTCTTACATTTGCTAGGCAAACAGTCTACCAACTTAGCTATAGCCTCATCCCTAAACAATGTTTTTAAAAGGCTGGAAGAAAACACAAGCCACAAATTCTATACGCAGTAAAGTGCCCTTTACAAACCAAAGTGAAAAAGATTTTTAAACAAAAGCCAAAAGAATTCAGCAGCAGCAGGGTTGCAATGAAGAACTGT